CTCATTTACATAATTACTATCTCCATTTTAGACATATTAATATCAAATAATATGGAACTTATATTGTCAAAGGTCATTTTCCTAGAGTCAGATCTAACATTCAAATGCAATTTTCAGCACATGTTCAATCTCAACATCATACCATTTTATTTTTTTAACTTTAAGTTATTTATGTTTATCTATTTTTTTAAAGATTTATTCATTTATTTATACAAGAACCAGGGTACAGGCCAAATGTGCGGGAGCATGAGAAGATTCGCCAGAGACAGAGCTGGGAACAGAACAGGCAGACTGATGAAATACACTGCTGAGGGGAGCAGCAGGCAAGACCGGAAAGGTCTGCTGTGCCATGTGGGACCCTCGCCAGCCGGCCGGGATTGAACCGGCGCTGCAGAGGCTGCAGACAGCTCCACAGCACTGCGCTCAACCACCTAAGCCACCAGGGGAGGCCCTAAGTTATTTATTTTTAAATAATTTTTTCTTACATTTGTGTTGATTTTTGGATAGTATATGATTTCTCCCCTCAGGTGTAGTCACCATAATTCTTCCACCACCAACACACACACACACACACAGTCTATCCCTATAGTCTATTTTGCTCTTCTATCTCACCCTACTGTTTTCACATTTCCTCCTTCCTCTCCCCTCCTGGATGCCTCATATCTATGATCAGCTTTCAAGATTTGTCTTTGTTTGACCATTTGTTTGGTGTTACTATATTCCACATATACATGAAAGCATCCGAAATTTATCTTTTTCCTTTTGACTTATGGTAATCCTGTCCAGCTCTACCCATTGTTGCCAGAAATGGCATGAGTTTATCTTTTGTGATCACTGAGTAGTATTCCATTGCATGTATTCCATATGCATGTTTGTATTTGTGTGTGTGTGTGTGTGTGTGTGTGTATACACACTACATTCTCTTGATCCATTCATCTGTTTGGGGCATTTGGGTTGTTTCCATATATCTTGCCTAGTGTAAATAGTGCTGCAATAAACAGGAGTGCAGGTTTTCTTTCAAATTAGTATGTTTGTATTCTTTGGGTAGATTTCTATCCAAAGCTGAAATAGCTCAATCACATGACAGATAACATTTTTAGTGTTTTAAGGAACCAGTAGGAAGGGCACTGGCAGGATCTCATAAGAGGTTGTGAGGCCTCTGGCCACTCTGGTACCTTCCCTGGTGTGCGTTCAGGGAAGGGTCTCATCATTCTGTGTGAGTCCTGGAAGTTTCACAGAAGGTTGTGAGGCCTCTGCTGATAAGGGCAGGTGATAGCAGGGTCTCACAAGAGATCATGAATCCTCAGTGCAGCTTCTCTGGTACGAGCCCAGGTCTCTTCAACTGCTTTCATGTAGAGGTATTTCTAGTCTATGTCTCAAGAACAGGGCCTTCCTTTACTTGTTTCTACCCAACTTGATCAGCAGATTAATATCACTGACACTACCTACGTAGTTAATGTTAATCCCAGTAATCTACACAATACTGTGTTGCCAAGTTTGCTTTACAATGCCAACCTACTATTCATGAAGTATGAAAAGAACATTTTTAAATTGTGTCTTTACAATGTTTAAAAAAATAGAAGACAAACAGAAGTTGAAAGACATTCTCTGCTCTAGATTGGAAAAATTAATATTGCTAAAATGCCTGTCTTACTTAAAGCAATATACAGATTCAATGCAGTGGCATTCCTCAAGCAAATTGAACAAACATTACTGAATTTCATATAGAACTACAACAGACCCCAAATAGCCAAAGAAATCCTGACAAAAAAAAGAATAGCTTTAAAACTACATTACAAAACTACACCAATCAAAACAGTATAGTAATGGAAGAAAAAGAAACACAAAGACCAATGGGATAGAATCAGAGCCCAGCAATTAAACCACATTTACGTAGAATATCTATGACAAATTAACCAATGATATACAAGTAAGAAAAGTCTTTTCAACAAATGGACGTTTGGGTAAACTGTACAGTCATATGCAAAAGAATGGAACAAAATCATTGTGTCATACCACATCCACCTGAAATCATAAAATATTTACTTTTTGAAGACATAGGCAAAACTCTTCATGGCATTGGCTTGAGAGATGTCTTCAGGAATGAACTGCAATGGCAAGACAACAAAAGCAAAAATAAACTTCTATACAGAAAAGGACACTATTGTTAAAACAAAGAAACATCTTTTTGAACAGAAGAAAATATTTCTACATCACACATTCAAAAAGAGACTGTTATCCAAGATCTACAAAGAACTCATACAACTCAACACAAAAGAAAACAAATCACCCAATCAAAAAATGGGTAGAAGATCTAAATGGACACGTCTCAAAGAAAACCACCAGGTGGTTACAGGCACCTGAAAATATGCTCATTACTTATCTTCAGGGAAATGAAAGAAAAAAGCACAATCAGATACCATCTCAGACCTGTAAGAATGGCCCATAACAAAAAGACCCAAAAGAACAAGTGTTTGCGAGGGTGTAGTGAAAAAGAAAGCCTGATACTCTTTTGAAGGGAATGTAGACTGGTCCAGCATCTACGGAAAACAGTATGAAGGTTTCTCAAAATATTAAAAAGAAGAGCCACCATATGATCCAGCAATTCTACTCCAAGACATCTGTTTGCATAATGCAAAAATACTCATTTGAAGGGATATATGCACTTCTTTGTTCACTGCAGCACTATTTATAATATTCAACTTACGGAAGCAACTTAAGTGCTCCCGTGACAGATGAGTGGATTAAGAAGATATAGCATATGTACATAATGGCATACTAATCAGTTATAAAAAACAAATGAACTTTGCCATTTGGGACAACATGGATAAAACTAAAGGGGACTATGCTAAGCAAGTTAAGACAGAAGGAGAAAGACTGATACTGTATGATTTCACTCATATGTGGAATATAGAGGAAAAAAGCAAAGAAACTGTTGAAAAAAAAAAAAAAAAACCTCTAGAAATCTGACTATAGAATTGGGGCTACAAGCAGTGATGGGTGTGTGCGTGCCAAGTCTGGAGGGAATCCAGTGGAAAGCGGTAAAGGACAATGGGTGCCTTGGTGTTACATGTAGTATGGTAAAATACTTCTACCAAGGTGTGAACCTATACCTCACAACTACATATGGTGTTGTATGCCAGTTCTATCTCAATAAAAATAATTTTAACAATAAATTAAAAAATGTATCCTTAGTATTGAACAAAAAATGTAGGTAAGTTTTTAAAACAAATTTTATCTTAAATTCTTGTTATTTCTCTGGAAACAAATATTACCACTGAATAAAAGATATTTAAGTATAAATTTATCTTTAAAAAAATTGAAATTTAAAGTACCCTTTCAAATTCTATATATCCAAAAAAACACTATTCCATTCATGCAATTATGTAATTGCATATAACAGAAACTGAAACAATAACCACCAAAATGTAGACATCTTTTTCTAGTGCAAAAAAGTAACAGGAAAGAACAGAGAGAGAAAGAATACCATGTTTCCTTTTCAAACCTCTATAGTGTTGGGATTCTGATTAATAATATTGAGTTTACAAAATACTTTGCAAATGAAAATAAAAAATAGGTTTCCAGGGCCTCACTGGTGGCGCAGCGGTTGAGCGCTGGGTGGCGAAGCTGCCCGCAGCCTCTGCGGCGCCGGTTCGATCCCCGGCTGCTCCCCAGCCACCAGAGGAGGGTCCCACATGGCGCGCAGACCTCTCCTGCCGCCCGCTGCTCACCTCAGCAGTGTACCTCGGTCCTTCTGCCTGCTCTCTCCCCACTCTGGCTCTGGTGAATTCTCTCACCCTCCCGCGCTTCTGACTGTACCCAGTGCTTGTATAAATAAAAAAAATAAAATAAAATAGGTTTCCATTATTGTCTCCTGGTTCAGAAAAAATTCATAATATTTTTTCATTCAATGTTAAACCTGAAACATTGTTTCAAGTAACCACTGAAATTTTTTAGACTTTAATGATTCGTGACTCCAATAAAACCTAAATATCAGCAATTCAAAGCTGGCTGTTCTGTCATAGACACTGTTGTGATACATCAGTGACTAATTCATCTTCCTCTGCAGGTCAACCCCTGCCCACTCACCCAAGTAATCTGACTTCTACTGAGACTGAAATAGCAGTTTAGCTCTGAAATAATTATTTTTTTTTAAAAGACAAAGATATGTCTTAAAACTGTGCTTAACTTTCATCATTGCAATGTCCATAACTGTGCTCACCAGACCTCTCTTTGATCTTGACCAAAAAACGCACTTTCACAAATCTCTCAGAAACTCAGAAATTAAGACTCCCAAGGGAGCATAGCATAGGTTGCCTGAAAATTTCCTACCCCAGAGGCTACTTTTTACAGTGAATATATGCCTCACACTCCCATGAACACTGGTCATAGAAAAATGGATTATTTGCTTGTTGAAATATGATTTTGTTTCAGATTCTCAATGGAACGGAGGCAACACTTTATACATGGAAATATATATAGCCAAATATGATGTCTCTCTGTTAAGAAAAGACAGTCTTCACTCTGTAAATTTCTTTAATTCATTTCCTCTATTACAATGAAGGCAAGTTCACAAATATTTTAATATAATATGTCCATGAATATTAATTGAGATGATTTGGGATTGATACATAGCTTTCAAAAATATGAACAATTTCTTCTTCAGGTACATCTTAGGACTTCTGGACTCCCTACAACATCAAAAGGAATCCTTCTAAATGGTCTCACAGCTCCCTAAATGCCTGGTTGAGGAATTATTTATGTTCCCACAGAATTATTATCCTCAGAATCTTAAGTTTTCCTGGATTAAGAAACTATTCCAGGCATAGATATGTAACTGTAATAGAATTTTCTCAACATGGAGAAAGTTGATTGTTATTAAATAGCTCAGGAAGAAACGTAAGAGAAAGTACAGAAGGAACTCTGCAGAATCTATGTCAATAGTTACCATGGAAATGAACTTATGCTCTTGGAACTGAACAGGAGATGCATAATGATACTACAGAAAAAAGACTGCAATCAGAGATCATTGGATGTGTACCTTGGTCTACCATTTCTCAGCTCTGAAACTTATAACAGGTTGTATTGAGGGTCAACCTCAGAATTCTAATTCCTATTCATGGGGTTATTGTGATGACGGAGTTAGACATGTGCAAGTTTCCAGCACACGGTAGGTATGCATAGAAACAGAGAAACAATATTCACATGACCCCGAAATAATTAGTAATTCAAAAAAAGAAAAACAAAAATAGTTTCATTTCTTTTTAGTTTTCTTGTTGTTTTTTTTTAAGTTTTGATTCTCTTTGGTTAGTTCTTAAGTCATTAGATTACAATTACACTGTAATTGTAGAATCTGTAGACTTATCTCTCTTGCCTGGGATACAGCTGAAAATTAATTTTAACATTATTAATGTGGTTATTCATGTAATTATTTTAGAAATAATATTTTGACTTTTATAATATAAGTACTAGGTGAGAAAGCAGATAAAGTGGTATAACCTATAGCATGTAGAGTCTTTTTCATCTGAAGGACTGAAAGGTGATCAGAGAGTACAGTAAGAAAATATTAAATAAGTTCTTGTTGACTATATTAGAAAAAAGTAAAATCCTCTCCTACATTAAGAACTTTCTAATTCAGTTCTTATTTTCATCCCTGATATCTAATAACTATAGTGGATTTAAACAATATCATCAGCTTTGGTTATAGAAAACAGTGAGGGTAAATTAGAGAAAATCTGAAACAATTAGTGCTAAGACTACTAACAGAATTATAGATACAGAGGATATATTTCATACATCTATTAGCCACTTAAATTTCCTTTTATGTTAATTATGTTTTCACATTCTTTCAAGAAGTTGCTGATACTAAATCATCTTAATTCTATTACTTTGGGCATTTACCTTTTGACTTGATTTTTTTTTCCAGCAGTAATATAAGTGATTATCATTGTTATGAGCAGGAATTAAAAGTAACTATAAATTATATAACTTGTAGATAAACATAATTAAAAATCTAAATGGGTGTATACCACATAAAGTTCACCACTAAAATCTTTCTGTAAAGTAACCTATGTATAGCCTCTCAAGAATTAATCAGACTGGACCATTTTAGTTTATGCAGATATTGCCAGATTTGTTTCTTAGGAGTCATCTTGTTTTGTAGCATTAAAATCACATTGTGTATTCTGTGCTCCTAGAACATGTTGACAAAATGAGATTTAAACCCACTGGAGAGTTTCACAATTCAAGACTAAACCTCAGAATTGACTGAAGTACACCACAGATGTGGAAAGATTTCTTCCAGGTTTCAGCAGCTTTGACTTTTAGGTACAGAGAACATTTTTTTCCTGGTGTTCATAAGTCATCCTTTGTGCTGAAGATTTATTCTTTCACTGGTTGTTAATCATAATCTCCTTGAGTGATTTAATCCGCTCTTGTATTTTTTTGACTATTTTCATTGACGATACAGATTAGTCATTTTATCAAGACTCTTTAAAACTGATTCTTTAAAACTGATTTATTCACTAATGAAAAACCATTAATTAATAATGTGTTAGATGTTGTCTCAGTTTTTCTTTTTCTTAATACTTTTACTGAAGTACCACTGGTTAATGTCCCTGTCAGTATTTTGAGAGTATGGGATCTCTCCCCTCAGATGTGATCACCAGTTTCAGTTTTTCAAATTTACATGTAGAAACTACTTTTCTACCATTTCCTTTGAAAACCAAATAAAGTATGTTATTTTACCTTGGGTCCACAATTTGAATTGATTAATTTCTTGATACACCACATATCCTCATCATGTTTTCATGCCTATTTGGTGTTCATATTTAATATTAAAATTACATCAATGAAAACATGACCAATTATAAGACCTAAACAACTATAATAATATCCATGCTCACATTCATCCTTGAATTCCCCTCACTTGAGGTTACTTACATTTTCTCTTTAGTATAAAATTTTATCATTTATACAAGCTCCTGCAAATGCACTGTAAGTGTCTATTGCTTTTCACCTTATAAGAATTTTGCCATGCAGATCTATTTTGGACCTCTTATTTTCTTCGTTACGATATCTACTAAGATACATCTCTATCATTTTATATAGATGTATTTTATTTATGGTTCTGCACAATATTTTATTGTCCTGTTTATGGGCATTAGTGTAAATTTCTCCTTAATAGATGCAAAAGTTTATCTTAAGCATGTAAATAAGAGTGAAATATCTGTGTCATAGAATATGTGATAGTTGAACTTCACAAGATAATGCCAAATGGTTTTCCATAGTGATAACATCAGTACATGCTTCTATCAGTAATGTATAAGAAATCCTCTTGGAATCACATACTATTATTCAGGAAATCTAATGTCATTTTTTTCTTCTTCAGATAAATTTAAAACAAACTGGACTAAATGGAAGAAGCAAACCAGTCTGTGGTTTCTGAATTTATTATTCTTGGACTTTGTCGCTCATGGGAGCTCCAGGCCTTCCTCCTAGTAATATTTTCTTCACTGTATTTGATCACTATTTTGGGCAACATCTTCATTGTACTTTTAATTATTGTTGACCTTCACCTCCACTCCCCTATGTACTTTCTGTTAGCCAATCTTTCTTTCATTGACTTTTGCATTTCCTCAGTCACTACGCCTAAACTGATCACAGACTTTCCCAAGAAAAACAAAACCATCTCTTTCGGAGGCTGTATGTGTCAGATTTTCTTTGGACATTTCTTTGGAGGGGCTGAGATGGTGCTCCTTGTGTCAATGGCCTATGACCGTTATATAGCCATCTGTAAGCCACTCCATTACTCCAGTGTCATGAGCAGACAAATGTGCATTGGATTAGTGATGACATCATGGATCATTGGCTTTGTGCATTCAATAAGTCAACTAGCTTTGATTATAAAGTTGCCCTTCTGTGGACCCAGGGAGCTAGACAGCTTCTTCTGTGATATTCCACTGGTAGTCAAGCTAGCCTGCATGGACACCTATGTCCTAGAAATGTTGATAAATGCTGACAGTGGAGTACTGGCAGCCTTCTGTTTCATTGTGTTGATGATCTCTTACTCTTACATTCTGTTTACGGTCTGTCATCACTCAAAGGATGGGGCATCTAAGGCTCTCTCCACCTGCACTGCTCACATTACTGTGGTGGTGCTATTCTTTGGGCCTTGCATCTTCATCTATCTGTGGCCACTCAGCATCCCTTGGCTAGACAAGTTTCTTGCTGTATTTTATGCAGTCATCACACCTCTCCTAAATCCAGCCATTTATACTTGAAGAAACAAAGAGATTAAAAATGCCATTAAAAGACTATGATGTTAGCCCAGGGATAGATTTCTGTGGGGTTTTTAAAGTTTCACATTTCTAGCTATTCACTGTATAATCCCAAAATTGCTCACACCTTCCCTATTACTCAGGGCACAGAAGCATTCCCAATTCACAAATGGAAAGCATTTGTATCTCCAGGTGTTTTTATCAATTCTGTTATATTCCGTAATCATTTCTCCATCATATGATTTCTTGTATGGGGAATCTGGTCTGTCTTTATGACTATTATGTTGGCTGTGCTCAAAGATGTCTTGAAATTAATGATAATGCACTTATTACTATTTATGCTGCTATTTCAACACCCACCAGCACATCCTGAAATTTTCCATTATGCTAAGCATTTCACTGAGCAAAGCATTACATATAGCTCATATCCAAATTTTTCAAGAAAAATGTATCTTGGTAACTTTATTTTTACAAATGGATAAACTAGTATTCAAATAGTTAAGTCTATCTACTTTTTCTGGAGAGACATCTAAAGAAGTAATCAGAAAAAAATTAAATCATAATCACAATCTGCAGCAAGTGTTGTTTCTTCATGTTTCACACATTTGAAAAAGTATAAATATAGTTTAAAAATATACATTAAATACAAAGATAAATGTACTAGCAACGGTGAGGATTTTTTTTTTCTTCTCTTTCTATTTATAAAAAGGCTAAGGAGTTCATTATCTATACCAAAGGAAGCATGGGAAAAGTGTTAATGAAGATGGTATCAAAAAGTCCAATTTTAGAATGAACTATACTACCCATTTAATTCACTACAGTGTTCAGATGACCTATAAGCAACTAAATCATGCACAAAGTTCATGAATTGTTCATCACTACATATAACTTCTGTAAGAATTCTTACTATGTTTCAAAAGGATTAAGTTTCAATTTCCTTACTGAAATCTGTGGAGTCTGATATACTTCAAATTTCACACTTTTTTTTTTTTATTTTGTGTTTATTTTGTATTTATTTTATTGAGGCCATGCTGGTTTACAACATAGCATATCATTTAGGGGTATAGGTTCTCACGTCATTAAATGTATGTTACCACACCACACCCAACACCAAAACACCTATAATCCTCACCCTACCTTGTCCATTTGGTGCCTCTTTTTGCTCCCCATCCTCCAACCTCTCCCTCTGGTGACCCCAACTCTTAAGTTTTAGGGTTTTCTCTTGGTTTGGTTTCATCTGTTCCTTTGTTTTGTTTATCATAATGCTTTTTGAAGCTATCATGGTATTTTGTACTCTGTAAAATTCCCAATGAAGAATCTGAAGCATAAACTTCCAAAAAAATATAATTTCTCTATGTAGGTACAGATATATAGATATTGAGTCTGAATTTTTTATCCTTTTATATCTTTATGTACCAGCTTGGAAAATATATACGACTTGTCTTTGAACCTATTAACCTTCTGCTATGCTTTTCAAAGCTACTTAAATTTTAAAATAAAATTAAATTCTAAACTATTACTTGGGTTTTTCTTATTCATTCCTATGCTAAAGGTTTTCATTGTTTTTTCCATTTCTTTAATTTTTAATGTCATTTTTAAATGTATGAGCTACTTTATATTCTTTGCTCATTTCAAGAATTGAGACCTCTACTGCTGTTAATTATTTTTCTCTCCATTTTGAGCCAGAGATTCCTGCTTTTTTTCATGTTTCACAATTATTTTATGCACCATAGGCATTATACATATTGTATTAAGTTATGTAAGTCTGACTTGATAGATACATGCCTCCAGAATCTATTTATTCTTACCTATAGAAGGTATAAGGAAAAAGGTATGATCACATCAATTCTATCAAGAAATAAGTGCATTTGAAAATAGATTGTAATTTCTATGAGTCAATACACTTTTGGTTTTGAACTGCTCTTTGGAAAAAATCTTTCCACATTTTTATTATCATTCTGAGGGATCTGTCTAAACTCAGTCTGAAAGATTTCATGTTTTGCCCTCCAAATACTCTAGCTTAGGCTTTTAGTCTTTTTCCTGCTAGCTCCAAAATATGGCTAATTTTTCAAGCAGAAATTGGGCTTTGCATTTTCCCTATTTAATGTACCTAACAAGAATCCATTAAAAATACAAATGTTAAGCAGAAAAATAAGCATGAACAGAAAATACATCAAATATTATCAATTATGCAATTCAGAAAGAACTTTGTAATTCATTTTTGAAAAGACATAAAATTCTTTTTAAAATTCTTTTGTTCCTGTGGTGATTTTCTTCATCCTCAATTAAAATACTATTTTTTAATATCAGCTATATTTTGAAATATTAGGTAAACACATCATTTACAATATTCACATAGAAGATGTTATTTTAGAGTAATTTGGGTTTTTTATTTGGCAAATTACATTATTTTTATTGAGGTTTACAACATGTATATGATTTAGAGTTATAAGTTCACACTTTCCAAATGTGTTACACCATACCCAACACCAAAAGTACCAATAATCTCCATCATAGTCCATAAATCGGGGCTCTTTATTTTTTTTTAAGATTTATTTATTTATACATACAACACCTGGGGTGGGGGGGTGAAAGGATTCACCAGAGAGAGTGGGGAGCAGACAGGCAGATCTACTGAAATATACTGCTGAGGGAAGCAGTGGACAAGGCAGGACAGGTCTGATGCACCATGTGGGTAGCTCCCTGGTTGGCTGGGGATCGAACACGTGCTGCAGTGGCTAGTGATAGTGCAACAGGGTGGTTCCCTATAACAATAGCTTGATAGCACTGACTTTAATCCCTAAGGCACCAGGGAGGCCGTGGGGCTCTTCATTTTTCATTCCTTTTCTTGGTGTCTTTCAGCTTCTTTCCTTGGAAATGTGGAGGCCAATTTTCTGGAGTGCCCTTGTTTTGTCATCATTTCTTGACTTCGGACTTGCCTAAGAAGGTTTCCTCAGAGACATTATGTGAAATGTGGTTATTTCTATTATAATCTGCTCCTGTTGTGCTGGAGCCCTGCTGGTATAGTGATAACCTGTTGGAAAAGGGGAGCATTCTATATACACTTCTGAGATTACATCACCATCTTCTGGTAGCTCTATATTTTAGAGTGGTGCAGCTGTCAACTCTTCTGACTTCTTTCCCTGGATGCAGCATTCCGAGTGTATTTTCTTGAAGACTTCACTTCTTTAAACTATGATAAAGTTTTTAAATGATGCACTGGCAAATTTCTTTCATCTTTCCTTCACTATGGAGAAGGCTCTGGGTATATTACACCATGTTTACTTTTACCATTCCCCTGCCATAACCATAAGGAAAAGATCTTTCTCAAAATTTTACAGTGAGAGCCATGTAGGTTTCTAGAAGTGAAGCCTACAAAAGTGTACCACCCTAAAAATAAGGCCCTGTGGAGTTTCACATGCTAGTTCAGGCTATAGATCACAATAGATCACAAAATTACCATTCAAGTGTCCCAACCAGTGGCTTCTCCTCCAGTTAAGCAGACCTCCCCTGGATCTCCTCTGTAGGTTTCATGGTGGTAATTTTCCTTATGACCTCAGTTATCTTATGACTACATAAAAAGTCATTGATTTTCAGTGTCCATGTATTCTCATTGTAAAAATGCAAGTGACAACTTAAATACACTAACCTGTCAGGAGTAAATAAGAAGTTTCCTACAGTGCTTTTTTTTTTTTTGGCAGTGCTTTTTATACTCATCTCAGCTTGACTGATTATATTTCTTTCATTTATTTTGCTTTATATAGTTCTCAAACTTGTACATATCTGATTGCCTTTCATCTCCAAATGGACCTATTATTTCTGATTCCAACAGTGGCAGATATGTTGGACAGGGAAGATCTGGAAAGGACAGTGCTAAAAAAATCATAACTGTATAGCTGTGTGAGTTTCCCAAAATGAAAATAGTCAGTCTACCAACACCCCGGGAAATAAATGATAATTTACCAGCTCTCTAGATATTTTATTGCATTTCAGTGCTTGTGGTTTTTTTCAAGTTTCATAGTAATCACATGTCCTCAGGCTCTCCATTAAATCAACATCCTCCCCCAGAAGATACCTCTCATAAATCTTCCATTATCCTTCCATTTATGTCCTTCAATCATAACTTAGAGAAATGTCTATAACATGGTTGACACTCAAACTATCAATTTCAGGACTCTGCTCAAGGAACCACTGAGAATGTTGAAACCTAATGCTCCTGAAATTCAACAGAGGTTCAACTCATGAGCATTAAGTCGGTAGCACAGTTGCAGTAATTTGCTCACCTGTGTAACTCATCTAACCTCTGTCCGGATGGAAATGAATCTTAGTGTTCTTTATGACATGGCAAAGATACAGCAAAAGAACAAAAGTCATATCCTCTTAATAAACAGAATGATGAAACATTCCAAAATTCTGTCTCTTACACATTTGTAGTTGTATATAACTGGACTAACATGAATCTAGCTTTGAAAAAGCATGATGACCTCAATACCCATATCTTCCTCAGGGAAAGAAAGAAGCTAAAGATCCCTGAGGAGTATTATAGAGGATTTTTTCCCCAATACTTAGGTCTATTTAAAACAGATTGATGGAAAGTTTCCAAGCTCAGAGGCTATACTTTAAAGAGTATATATGTCTCAAGGAGAGTATATTCCAGCTGCACTGATCATAGCCAAAAATAAACTGGACATCATTTCAGACTTAAATTAGAATATAGAACAAGACTTTCAGTCAGAGAAGGACAGGATAAAGAATTGATCCATGTACGGTAAGTATATCTCAAGCAATCTGATTGTAAATTTTCACTTTCAATGCTTCTCCTCCATTTTAAAACTAAGCTAGTTTTATTTTCTCTCTGGAGCACTTTTTCTATACCTATATGTGGAGCTTAGAGTTCTAAATGTGTTATTTAATGTACTTACAGGAAGGATTATAGGTTTCTCCTCCAACTAATTCATGGACTTCTGAATTGCTACCAGCAGATTCACACACTAACTAAAAGCACTGCCTTTCTACAAAATTAGAAGTTCCCAGAAGTTCTTCAGTTTTGGAAAGATGGGTTCTGAAAGACCCTCAATTTCTCCTGATGTTTTCTAATTCCTTTGGATCTTACTTCAACTATATAATACAATTGTAACGGGAAAAAAGCATTAGTGAAAAATTATCTGGGTAAAGTATCATACAATTTGAAGTTAATGAAACTGAATGAATTTTAATGGAAATCTGTCCATCTTTCCTATTTCTATTGGCTATTTGTACTTGTATCTCTGATACCTCTTCACAGAACAAAATACCTTAACCCAGAGAACTTACTTATTTTTTTATTCTTGTAGTCTTGTCCACACTAAGAATCCTATCAGAAGCCATTTCAGTAGGTAAGTTATACTGCTAGTTCACTGTTTATATTTCAGTATTATTAATTTCTGATTTGTGACTCAGGGAAAGCAAAGCTCTCTTGTAAAATGACTAGAAATGTGCACAATAAAAAATAGATGAGTGCATTAATGTAGTTTATTAGTCTCATGCTTATAAAAGGAATAAAATAATTAGATTTTATGTAGGTTGACTGTCAAAAGAACCTAAATCAGATGGTACTTATCATATTTAAAATGTCTTACTTTTACTATGAAAAAAAGTGAAGAGAAGAAAGAACAGAATCCAATACATAAAAATGTACAAAGATGGAAGAATTCGAAAGAAAAAGAAAGGTCAATAAAGCTTCAAAACATGAGGAAATTCTGTGACCTCATAAAAGATTAAAAGTACATTCAGTTGCTGTGTGGCCAGGCTACAAAAAAGAATTCAATTCAGACACTGCTGGTGGAAATGCAAAGTTCTTTAACCCTATGGAAGGAAGCTAACAAAAAAAATAAAATAATAAGCCTTTAAAAGTACTTAACACAGACTTGGTACATGATAAGTTTCTGGTTAGTCAACTTTATGATCTCTCACTTTCCAGACTGAAAACTTGTAACAGGATAAAAGGCCAAGACATGAGGAAAAACTAAACTGAAAAAAGGAAGGAAGGAAGAAAAGCAAGAAATCTTCAACTTAGCATCTGGTTTAAAGAAAATAAATTTATTTAAAAAGAGAATAATTTTAACAATATACTAAATCTTTTAAGTACAAATGAAGTTAGAATTTCTATTTTCTTCCATGAAGGCCAGTCCGGAGTAAGGTGTTTTCATGTACTGTGACTCTAACAAGTCTCAAAAAATAAATCTCTGTTACCAGTGAGGAACAAGGACCAGTGGATGCATTTTAATAAGTGGATTTACTCAGATGATGGAATATATGATTTTGTATAAATATTGTTGATGACAAATTCAAAAAGGATGCAAACGTATATTTTTAGAAAGGTTTAGATAGCATTTGAGGTGTTTTTTGGAACATAAATATCTTATTTAAAGTCATTTGATATACAGTTTTTCCCTAAGTTCACTAAATACTGCTTCAATTCTATCTGCTCATGAATATCCACTTAGCAATGGGTCCGTTTCTGAGAAGCATGTTTTGCATGATAACAGCCCAGGATTGAACTTGGTAAAATACAGAACCTCAAAATATATTTCAGGGCTATGAATTCTCCATTGTTTCAATCTTTTGGAGAAATTGTTTATGGAACACATAACTACTGATGCTTTAAATCAGAATATTCTTCTTGTTACCTGTAAGGGTTATACGTCTGATGGTTAAAGTTTTTGGTCTGCCCTTGTATACTAAATTAGCTCCCTTCTTAATCACATATTTAAGAAAACTTTATTTCCAGTTTTGATTATACTGGTAAGATTTTAATTTTGACATGAGAAGTATTTGTCTTTTCTCTGATATCTCAACATTAAGCTTTACTTTCCATTCTAGAGGTTCTTATTTCATCTCTTTTTTAGGTTGCATTAGAGCGTGCTGTACTAAATGGAGCAAGCAAATCAGTCTCTGGTGTCTGAGTTTATTTTTCGTGGACTCTGTAATTCAAGTGAAGCCCAGATCCTCCTCTTACTGCCATTTTCAATTGTCTACCTCATGACATTTGTGGGCAATCTTCTTGTTGTTCTTATAATCATCCTTGATCCTCATCTCCATTCCCCAATGTACTTTCTCTTAGCCAATCTCTCATTTGTTGACTTCTGCCTTTCCTCAGTAACCACCCCTAAATTGATCACAGACTTTCTGAGAGATAATAAGACCATTACCTTTGAGGGCTGCATGACCCAGATCGTCTGTGTACATTTCTTTGGAGGGGGTGAGATGGTGCTACTTGTGACAATGGCTTATGACCGCTATGTGGCAATTTGCAAGCCACTCCACTACTCCAGCATCATGGACAGACAAAAGTGCATCTGGCTAGTTTTGATAACTTGGATCATTGGCTTGGTGCATTCCACAAGTCAACTGGCTATGGTTTTAGAACTTCCCTTCTGTGGACCCAGAAGAGTGGACAGCTTTTTCTGTGATATCCCTTTGGTGATTAAACTGGCCTGCATGGATACACATAAGATAGAGATGATGATAAATGCTGACAGTGGGGTCTTGGCAACAACCTGTTTTATTATCTTGCTGGTATCCTACACCTATATACTAGTAACTGTCCGCCTTCGCTCCAAAGATGGGGCATCAAAGGCACTCTCTACCTGTACTTCTCATATCACAGTTGTGGTGTTATTCTTTGGACCCTGCATCTTCATCTATCTGTGGCCACTTAGTATCACTTGGGTAGACAAGTTTCTTGCTGTGTTTTACACAGTAATCACACCTCTCCTGAATCCAGCTATTTATACGCTGAGAAATAAAGAAATTAAGAATGCCATAAAAAGACTGATAAATAAGCATTTGGATTCAAGAGATAAATTGTAGATCTTTCATGTAATCAAAAGATACACTATGTGTA